ACTGAGATCAATTTGCCCCAGGACTAAAGAGTGAGTTATAGTTGTAACTAGAGTCAAGGTGTTTAAGACCATAGAAGCCTCTGGCAAACTTCCCATCTTGGGAAGTTGGGGCTGAGGTAGAGATGGGGAACAAAGGGAAGGTCCCACCTTCCAGTGGGAAGAGAAAGATGTGGCCTGGAAAGAATCAATTTCTCTCCTTTTCCTTCTGGGAGGAGGTGGTTAAAAAAAAATAATGAATAGCCGGCCAAACTTTGCTCCACAGTGACACCTGCTGTTTACATAAATTAATTATAAATTTCATTTTAATGAAAATGAATTTAAAATTAATATATATGAATACATTAGATTCTGGGCTCCTTGAGAGCAGAGACTGCTACCTTTCTTTTTCATCTTCAGCCCTAATAACATTAATTATGTTGCTAATAATAAAAATAACTAACATTTATCTAGTGCTTACTATGTGCCAGGCATGCTAAGTGCTTTACAATAATCATTTCATTTAATCTTCAGAACAATCCTGGGAGGTAGGTGCTATTATTGCCACCATTTTACAAATGAGGAAACTGAAGCAAACGAGTCAAGTGACTTGCCCAGGGTCACACAACTTAAAAAGTATCAGGGGCTATATTTGAACTCAAGTTTTCCTGGCTCTAGACTCAGCACTCTATCCAGGCACCACCAACTTGCACTTAGCACAGGCCTAGCATATAATAGACACTTAAATGCTTGTTGACCAATTGGCAAATTAGAGGAAGCTGGGTGAAAACTCTAGACACAAGTTCTTGGGATCAGCAGAGAGGAGGGACATTGCACTGTGAAAAGAAAGCCCTCAGACATTGCCTCCCAAGTAGAGGGAACCTGGGGACACTATAAAACCACTTCTGGGGAGGGAGCTGCTAGGGAGGTTCAGGGCAGAGTTAGGCTGCAGGAGTGAGGAGGAGGTTATCTGGTAACTTCTTATTTTAACATTATTCTTGCTCTGGAAGTTTTAAGATTGGATGGGGAACCTGTGGCCTCGAGGTCACATGTGGCCCTCTAGGTCCTCCGGTGTGGCCATTTGACCAGTCCAAGTTTTACAGGGCAGGGAACAGATTCCCCACCCCTGTAATCTAAGATCATTGCTTCTACTTAAGGAGTACAAGTGTTGTCAAAATGAAAATGCAACACTTGAAAAATTATAAAATCATTAAAGATTATTATTTTAAATTTTGAACCCTCTATATTTTGGTACCCTGCTAAAGTGACAAATCTTCATCTTTCCTTGTCCTTTTTTCATTCTTATCTTTCTTATTTTTCTCCTACTGATCTATTTATAGTTTTCTCCATTCACATTTTTCACCCTTTATTCTGCTCCCATTTTTTCCTCTCTTTTTGCATTTGCCTCTGACTTTGTGGTAGCAACCCCACTGCACTTGTGGTTCAAGAGATTTCTAAATCCTGATCTAAGTAAGTCACTTAGTAATAACTGATTTGGAGAGAATTAAGAATAAGTCACTTGGCAAGAGATGCTTTTGTGCTGAATTGACAAGGTAATTGATATTTACACGTTCTGCCTTCTAGTGCCAAGCTTCCCATCATCAGACACCATCCTCTGACACTGATGGCTGCCTCCTGAGAGTTGGTTTTATCCACTTATAAAACAAACAAAGTGTGGATGACCAATTCTAAATCTCATCGTTTCTATGTCACTGAATCAGAAGAGCCCCAATTGTATGGAGATGGATTCACAGGGCACAACTCACACCTAGATGCACAGATCTACACCACACTCTTTTAGGGGTGTCTAATTTTGGGGACAGTTTAAGAGGAAGGATTTCTTCTGAGCATTAATGATGGTGCATGCTACCCATCCCATCAGAGAGCTTATGGTTACAAGTTTTAGAAACAGACACACATGTTTAACATGACCAATGCAGGAATTTATTTTGCTCAAGTATATATATTTGTTACAAGAGTTTGTTTTCTTTTTTTTTTTTCAATGGAGGTGGAAAGGTCAGAGGAAAATAAAAAGAAGGAAGACATAACAAGGAGACCCCTGAATCCAAAGGAAGAAGTTTTTTTAAAAAGAGGACTCAGTATTTAGCTAAAGAAATATAAACAAAGTATGGTAAACATTCTCTTTGTGTTCTCAGATAGCATCTGAGAATTGTAGATGGAAAGGAAAGACCAGCTATGTTCCTGAAGGAGGAGGAAAGAGGTGGGTTATGAACTGGATCTCATTGTTTCTGTGTGGTGCTGTGTGGTACATGGAAAAGCCAAATCAGTTTTGGAAACAAATCAAAAGCCTCTGGAAATGGATAGACATTCCATGGTTGTTGTCTACCTTCCATTTGGCTCATTCTTAAAGTGAAATGTACTAAGAATCAATATAAAATGCATGAGATACATCAGCTGGGGAAGTCACCCTTCATAAGGCCAGGTGTTTACATGTTGCTAATTATGTTGGTGCATTCTGCTAATGGCTTGAGATTCCTTTTAACAAAGAATGGAGGTTCAAAGAACAGAATCATACTTAGTATAACTAATCAACATTCAAGTAGCAAGAGAGAAGCAGCAAGAGCAGGTCCCAATCACCAATAGATTCAGCTGAGTCCTCAGGAAGAGTTAAGCAGTCAAAAAACATTTAATATGCACTTAGTATGTTCCAGGCATTGTGCTAAGTACTAGGGATACAAATAAATGCAAAAAATATTTGCATTTCCTCTCTGAATGAGCTTATAGGTCCAATGGGAAGACAATATGCAAACAGCTAAGTTCCAGGTATTGTGCTAAATGTTACGAACACAAATGCAAAAAATACTGCATTTCTGCTCCCAATGAGCTTATATGTCTAAGGGAGAGACAACTATACAAATAAGTTAATAATAACAATAGTAATACTAGCTAATAAATAATAGCTAATAATAAAACAATAGTAATAGCAGCTAGCATTTATATACTGTTTTAAGGTTTGTGAAGCTTTTTGCAAATATCTCATTTTAACCCCACAACAACCCTGTGAAGTAGATACTGTTATTATCTTCATTTTATAGATGAAGAAACTGAGGCAGACATAGATTAAGTGACTTGCCCAGGATCACCCAACTATTAAATATCTGAGATAGGATTTGAACTCAGTTCTTCCTGACCGTGAGTCTAGCACTCTATCAATTATTCCACTTAGCTGCCTCTATGATGCCTCCAGATATGTATGTGATTCTTAAGGTGCCCACGTCTGCCACAGGAATGCACTTAACAGAGATATAAGTAAAGGAGGCTATAGCTCTATGCTCCCAGAATGGCCTAACCAAGTCACATGGTGCTTCTCCCTTTTATACCCTAGCATAAATCGTGTCTATGTAAGTTCACAGAAAGGACCTAGCATGGCTGCTTTTCTTCCAATTGGAAGAAATGTAATATATTACTAAAACAACAATGTGATAAGCTATATTATAATACATTTCACAATACAGATCACTCCAGAAGAGGCAGGGCTGTGTGATGGCCAGGCAGCACTGACCTGCACTTGTTATTACTATCACAGGTGTACTCTAAAAGTTCCTTAAGGAAAGACCACTTAAAAGAGTCCTAAAGTCAGAATATGGCATCATGGACTCCATTGTACTGTAATACACACAAGGTAATGATATAACATAAATGCCATGGTCTAGAAAAGGGAGAATGAGTTGCATGGTAGAGAAGCCCCCATAGAGATGAGACACTAATCTTTGGACTTCATACATTTAAAGCATCTCCTCTCCCACCCACCTCCATCTTTTAGAGTTGTTTTCTTTACCACTTTTTCATATTTTTACTTTATTCATCTATGGTGAATTGGAAAGAGTGAAAAGACTCTGAGTACTGAGAGCACATAGAAAAGCCAAGTCACAGCTTTAGAAACAAAGCCTACACTTTGGAGTCAAAGGACCTGAAAATTACAATCTGTAGGCCAGTCACATAACCTCCCTTATCCTCCATTTTCTCATCTGTAAAATGATGGGGTTAGACTAAACCTCGCCCAAGGGCCCTTTTAATTCTGGGTTTACAATATCTTTCTTTTCAGAAAAAACTTTTATTTAGTCACCTTTATCTGGGATTCATTAAAAACAACAAGAACAACAACTGTACTGGAAGTATGTTCATTATACAAATGATTGCATCAGTGAGGAACCTTAGTAGATGATTTTCATGAATGGTAAGAGCAAGACCAAATTCATCAGCGGGTGGCTACACTCCCTAGATAGGAGCATCTCTCTCCTTCTCTCTCTCTGGAATAACATTTTATTTTCTCCCAATTATATGTAAAAACAATTTTTAACATTCATTTTTTTAAAAATTGTGTTTCCATTTATTTATTGTCAGATTTGATTAAATGAGGTGATGTAAAGAAGTTACTTTGTAATCTATGTTGTGCTAGATTAATTTCAGATATGATCATTGTTAATACAAGTGTATCATTCTTTTAGAAAATCCAATATGCAAAATTAATATTTCCATATTAGTCATGTTGTGAAAGAAAACACAAAACAAAAAAACCCCCACTAACAACCAAATAAACTGAAAAAAGTATGCTTTGATACGCATTCAGACACCATCAGTTCTTTCTCTAGAGGTGAATTGCATTTTTCATCATGAGTCCTTTCGAATTGCCTTGGGTCTCCGTATTGCTTAGAATACCTAAATCATTCACAGTTGATCATCATACAATATTGCTGTTATTGTAACCAGGCTGGTCTTTGGATGACAGACATGCAGTTTGACTCCTAGCCAGCACTTGAGGATTTTCCAGTGTGGTATGACCTGAGAAAGTCTATGGTCCACTAGCATAACTTTTCAGAGATCAAGGGTTATTCACTGCAATTTGTTGTTCTTTAGTCATTTTTCAGTTGTGTCCAACTCTTAGTGACCCCATTTGGGGTTTTCTTGGCCAAGATTCTGGAGTGGTTTGCCATTTCCTTCTCCCTCATTTACAGATGAAGAAAGTGAGGCAAACAGGGTTGTGATTTGCCCACAGTCACACAGTTTGTAAGTGTCTGAGGCAGGATTTGAACACAGGAAGATGAGTCTTTCTGAATCCAGGTCCAGCACTCCATCCGCTGTTATCCTTACCCCTGACATCCTCTCATGGTTCTTCTCTTCTAATCTGTTGATCTTTGTTGCTTCGTTCATTGCTTTTGCCTTAAAAAACAAACAAACCAAAAAATGTTTCCTCTCTTTACTACTTCTTGGCCTTGCCTTTCTTTTTTTTCCCCTCTAATCTTTACTTTTCATCCTCTCCAGCTACCACTCCCCTATATGTATTGCCTTATTCTCCTCCTCACCCCTCACCCCACCCCCTGACCTACCCCTTTTAGGGAAGAAACTGTCCTTCCTCTTTTTAATTTATATCCCTAACACTCAGCACCATGCTCGGTACATAATAAGCACTTAATAATTTTTCATTCATTCATTCATCTTATTTTTCCCTCTTGGTCTCTTTACTTCACTATATTGTCTTAGAGATCTTTGTTTTCTCTAGTCCCTATTTATGACTCTTATGCTGTAAGTCTCTGGCTTTGAGATTTTCATTTAATCCAGCTTCACTATTTTGTGTTCCTTGGGGAAATCCATCTGCATTAATGCAAAGTTCCAGTCAAGGAACATCTTTCCAGAAAGGCAGAAGTTTTATTATTTTCAAGGGCTTATAAACTCCCATCCAAAACAAAGATTTGACTCAGTTTTTCTTTAAATTTAGCATTACTTTGCGTTTACTGAAGTCACTGGAAATCTCTCATTTTAGCTATATAAGTGGCTAATATAAAACTGCTCCTGATTGTCAGATGGGACCCCTGTACTTGAAGGCTCAGAGGACCATCAACCGTGAGGGACCCCTTCTCCCAGTCTTCCTTTCTGAGAGAAAGGATTATTTCTCTCATATTAATAACACATTAATGAATTAGGACTAAGGACTTCTATTTCCTCATTCAGAATTCAAATCCTGTAAGCTGTTCAGCCAGCCTTTGAAGTGCAGGGCTGATGTAAGATGAAATCTTGGGCAAAACTGGGAAAACTTAGATCTGATCAAAAGGTAAGGAAATTCTAGTTTAGGTGAATTTGTGGATTCCAGTCCATTGTGTTTCAGTTAGACAGGTCTGGGAGGAAGTGGGTTCCCCCTTTTGTCTTGATTATCCTAGATAGAGTGGTATGGGTATAGCTGAGTTTGTCTGTCCAAGACTGAATGATCACATCCACCAGACCCTCATTAGAATAAGTCTACCTCTCATTATAACAGTCATTCTCTCATTACTTGTTAACCAATCAGAGTTGATTTCCACCCTCAGGAACACCCACCCTCCTAACAGCATGTAAGTGTTGGATGGGTTCCATGAGGGGTCTTTGGTTTAGGAGAGATGATCAAATGACCATCCTTTTATTAATTACTCACTAGCATAATTAATAAAATGATTGATTACCCAGACACTATATCTCTTAAACTTTTTTTTGTTTTTTTTTTTTAAACAGTTGGGGTTAAGTGACTTGCCCAGGGTCACACAGCTAGTAAGTATCAAGTGTTTGGTCTGAGGCCGTATTTGAACTCAGGTCCTCCTGACTTCAGGGCCAGTGCTCTATCCACTGCGCCACCTAGCTGCCCCCTCTCTTGAACTTTTTATACATCACATTTCACTACTATCATCTTTTCTAGATGTTTATCTCCCTTACCACCAGGAAATCTTGATTCCAATAATGGGAGTACCATGACAGTGAGAACCCAACATGGTAGCAAGAAGAACTTTTGTAAAGTGATAAACTCACATTTCCAGGAGTAGTTGGACCCTACAATAATCAGTAATCACCCTACAAAACAGCCACCTACATGGCAATCTTCTGATATCACAAGGAGACTAATTAAGGTAGTCCCTTTTATTCACACTGCCCATTGGTATGCAGCCCAGAGAGTTGCCCAGGTTTCTAGGCAGTTATGGATAAGGGAGTCTACCTGTCCAAAATTCATATCACTATGTGCTAAGTAGGTATCACACATAATTCTACTGGCCAGGGTCATATTCACCCTCTTTCCTTACAAAATCTTCTGCAAATTCCTATAGATCACCTTTCTCGCCCCCAACAAAAGGGGCCCTATGACGTTCTAGGGTGTATGCTTATATATGTAAAAGAATACAAATAATAGTAGTTACTTTTTGATACATTAGAGACATTTTTTGTGTATTGGGGCTTCATACACAGCCTCCAAAAGGGATTATGCAGGTGTCTCTTCTGGGGCTGCTGGCGTCTGTCCACCATCCCAGCATTCTTCAGGGGTATATAGAAGGATAAGGTGGTGAGAAGGAAATAAATGGGAATGTCTTCCTCTTGAATACGTAGAGCTGCATTTTCCTGTCCTAGCTCCAGCCCTGCTGTGGATTCTTAGAGCAAAATCCAGCAAAGAAAAGCAGCTAATTAGTGGCCACAGCATTTACTCTGGCTTCTTCTTGTTCTTTCTCAGCTGTAACATTTCCTGTGGAAGTAGGAGCACCAAGAGCCTAGTGCCATCTCACAATCACACCACCCATGTTTCAGCCTGGGTGTAATATTTGATGGTCCTAGTGATCTAAGCCCTTCAGTTTAACAGCTACAGCCACTTGCTTTTCATGCTTTTCCAATTGTCTCCCATGTTGCAGTATATAACTGATTTCTCCAGCCTCAGTATCTTCCCATCACTGTCTGCTCTGAGCCTTTTCTTCTTTAACCACGTCTTGGGAAAGAACTTAGAGCCCTTGCTCCACTTCCCTTCCCCTTTACCCAAGGGTCCTGGGCTGGGCTTTTCCAGCCTTCTCCCCTCCCTCACATGGCCACCCATACTGCCTGGATGAGCAGGGAGTCACTAACTACTTCCTTCCAGTAAGATGGAGAGACACCAGGTCTTATCCCAACCAACAGGGGAACCTGCTTTTATGTGTTGCTCCTCCAATTATTAAAATTTGAATTCTTTGAAGGCAGGACTGTCTGGCTTCTGTTTGTATCCCTAGCAAATACTGCTTAATATATGATTTTTCATTCATTCATTCACTCATTCACATTAAAGGGAGGATTAGGTGAAAATGTAAACAAACATCAGGAACATTTATAAGACTCCTGGGGATGTGCATACCATATGGCATCTTGGCATCTTCATTTGGATTTTGTGATTGGATGAAAGTTCTATCCCTAGTTTTTGGATTTTCTTTCCCTTCATTTGACTAGTCTAACTTCCTCACAGAGAGGATATCTTTTGTGATCGCGACTGAAGTACATGGATAGTCATAAATTCAGTAGTTTTAGGAGTCATATGAACTGCTTTGTACATGATTCTTGTTTTTGTACAGGTCTCTCTGTATTGCTTTGTGTGTGAATTCTGTATACTTGCCCCTACATCCAAGGAAGACTTTTGATCAATTTATAGTCAAGAAAAGGCACTTTTTGTGGTAGCAAAGAATTAATCAGGTGACCACTGATCAAGGATTGGCAAAACAAATTATGGCAAATGAATGGAGTGGAATATTGCTGCACCATAAAAAACAATGAATATGAAGAATCCAGAAAAACATTTGAGGGGGGGACACATAAATTCATGCAGATTGAAATACAAAGAACCAGGAAGAAAATATATACAATAACTGCAACAATGTAAGTGGCAATAATGACAACAATAACCAAAAAACTGAATGATATAGAATTATAATAGAGCACCACCCTGAAGAAGATACGAGAAAATTAACTTCCTGCCTTTATTTGCAGATGTGGAAGACTAAGATATGCAATACAGGACACGATGTCAAATTCAGTTGACATGTTGAGTTTTTCTGAAATTTTTTCCCTCTTTTTAATTTTTTTTGTTTCAAGGGATGGTTCTCTTGGTGGTGAGGTAGAAGAATATATTTGGAAATGAAGTAAATGTGAAAACAAAAAAATTGGTAAAAAAATTAAAACACTATCTTTTTGAAGTTTTAAAGAAGAGGCAGCTCTCCCCAAATTTTCCACCTGGGACACCTGCAATTTCCTTTAAATTTAATATTAGAGTCCATTCAAGCCATTTGGAATCAATCTTGGTAGCTCTATGAGTGAATGGACAGAAGACTTGTCATGGTGATCAGGGTCAGGTGGATGTTGAGAGGCTTAGGTGAACAGGTAAATCAACATCCTATAAAACTTCAAGAGATTTGAATTATGGAGGGCTCCATAAAGGCAGGTTTATGAGCCTAGGAGAGTAATGGTCTAATTGCTTTGTACCTTATTATCCCAACCTCATTCCCAAGAAAGCGTTTGATGAAATTTATAGTCTTGAAGAGATAGCTGTTGTTTTTGTGAAAGTAAAACAGATCCTCATTGGCTGGGGAATTGCTTAAACAAATTGTGGTACATGAATGTACTATTTAAATGTACTGATTAACATGTCACAAGACAAGACAAATATAAAGAATTTAGAGAACCTTGGGAGGATAAACCTAAAATGATGCAGAGTAAAGGTAGCAGAACCAGGAAGAATATACACAACGATAACAATAATGCAATACCAAAAGTAAGGCCAAAAATGCAAAAATTAAGTGTTGTCTACTTATAATGACCAAGTAGAGATGAGAAAACATACTCCTCTTCCTTCTTTGCAAAGGTGGGGAGCTATGAGTGGGGAATACTGCATATACTGTCAAACTGATGTGTTGATTTTGCTGCACTTCTTTTCTTTAAATTTTTTTTTCTTATAAGGGAGGCTCTCTGTGTAGGTGACAAACATGCTCCAAAATTAAGGTGATATGAAGACAAAAGATATCAATATCATTTTAAAATAAGAAAGTATTTCAAAAGTAGGAAAAATCGGTTAAAAGCCAATCCTTTCATTTGAGAACTATTTTTTTTTTTTAAAGACACTACAGGGTATTCAGTCCTTGATCTCTATAGCACCTCACTTACGCCAGCTAAAATGGTTTTCTACTGTTACTATATTATTCTCTAACTAAGGTTAAAAATGTATTTGTTAGCACAAAATTGGGGTCATTTCAGGAAGCAGATTAAACATTCAAAGTAACAGCTTCAGGAGGAAATTACCTGGATCTCTACGGGGATCATTTATACTAGAAGGATCCCTAGAAAACACAGCTTCAAAATATTACCTACCAAGGTAATAGTCTTATTTTTTCTCAATTACATGTAACAACAATTTTAACATTTTTTTTTAAATTTTGAGTTCCAAATTCTCTCCTTTCCTTCTTCCCCTCCCCCATCCCCCTGGGAAAGCAAGCAATTTGACATAGGTTATTCAACATATGTTCATATATATACATATATATGTACATGTATATATTCAATAGCCTTATAAATTAACAACAGGGAATGCTAATCCATAACACTCATTCAGCACCCCTGACCCACCAGCTTCCATGTGCTTAGAAGATGCCTAAATCTACCCAGGATTTGGGACTTCAGATACTTGCCTCCTGGTGCAGAGTCTCTGCTGGCACACCCTACCTCTGTCCTTCGCCCATTGTCCCATTGCAACAAGCAGTGGACATTGACTATCCAGCCATGTAAGGAAAAGGAGGATGTACAGAAGGGAGGAATTTGGTTTTCTGGTACTCAGGAAGGCCACTCGCAAAAAAAAAGTCAAACTGATTTGTCCCAGTTAGAGAATTGAAGCCTGGAGGGAACTAGAGTGAGGCATGCCAGCAGGCATGACAGCACTGGCTCCAAAGGAAACAGAACTGGAATCTATCTGGATCCAGTCCTGCACTCTCTATGACACTCACTTAAATCAGGGACCAAGGTGGGTAAAAAGTAAATTCTGCAATGTGGAAGAGACCCAAGATAGTGTTGACGCCTGGTCCTTAGGGCAAGCCTTGCATTCATCAAGGAGGAGGTGTAATAAGAAAGGGATCACTAGGAGCATATAAGTAAAAAAGACAAAAATCTTTTTAGGGGTTTAAAAGATTTCAAGAGGAATAAAATTCAATTTCAAATGTAGAGCACAAGCAAATAAATCAACAGAGAAGATACTGAAGTTAGAAAGGAGGCTAAGTGACCCCAAATTCTGTATAAATATTGACATACTGATACCTGATAGTGATATGCTGATACTGTTCTGTATTACTGAATCCTAAGTACTGATACTAAGTTTAATATGAGAAGTCTGGAATCACTAGATTGGTTGTATTTAAATAGACCTAAAAGGCCTACCTTTCATGAAAGTAAAATTCATTACAATTTTGTGGGATGAGAATGCATATGTCTAAAATCCACAAATAGCTGATATTCATGGCTACTTTTCTAACTGAGCCTACTTGTCCTGTTGCTGAGTTCGGAGTTCTATTTGGTTTGCTCTGGCAGTAGGAAGGAATTTCAAGTGCCCTTTAGGATAAGTGGTCCAGAGGAAATTGCTTGGATCTCTACGGGGATCACTTATGCTAGAAAGATCCCTAAAAAATTTTGGTGTGCCCTGTGTTGAAAGAGACACTTTTTCTTTTGGTGTGCACTCTGTAGAAAGGTATGCTTTTGTGCCCACCCCAATTGGATAGCCTGGCTTATGCACTGAAAGAATCATTGGAAGAGTTTCTATGTGGGACAGTTTTCTCATTTGAGCAAGGGTCAGCGCCAAGTTGACTCCTGGTCCCAAAACCCTGTAAGGAGAGCTCCATGCAGCATGGAAAGCTCAGTATGGACCAAGTTTCTGTTCAAGAAAGCTTCTGTCACACAACTCATTAGCGCTACACAAAAACCCTAAGAGGAAGTATGGCAGTTATACTCTGGGGACCCAGCCCACCAGTGTGAGTGAGATTTGGAAAAGTAGTTCCTGCTCAGAACACGAAATCTGAAATCACTGAACTGGGATACAAGTGGATACACCAACAAGAGCTGGGGAATGGCCCTAGAGACCTTGTAGTGGGATTTCTCCAAGGGGGATGAAGGATGAACTGCCAACAAGAGTTCCTATGCAAAACACAGGCTTGATTCTGTTTTTCTTGAGCCTCAGCATTAATTTAAGCTTACTCAAGGCAATGGAATCTCTTTTTGTAGCTAGATGAGTGAATGAACACAAAATTACTGACGACCGTTTGGTTTGATTAGATGTTAAGGACAGGTCTAAGTCAAACCAAAATAAAACTAAGAATATAATTCAAGAATTGTTGAGAAGTGAATTCTAGAGGATCTCCCTTTGGATTTCTGGTACTAGGAAAGAGTTCCATCTTTTGTCTTTTGATTATTTCTTTTTTTCATCTAACCAGATCATTTTGTCACACATAAAGATATCTTCCGTGATTCTGACTGAAATTAATGTTCAGGCTTATTGCTCTGAAGACCTGGGAATAATGTTCTAATAGCTCTGTTCCAGGATTTCTATTTTCATTCCACGTTTGCTCTCCATTCCAAGGAAGATTTTGATGAATTTATGGTTATGAAAAACCAGGTGAACCTGTTTTTCCATCTGAGAACCTTGAAATTTCTTTGGGTGCTATTAATTCTAGTCCATCCCCTGGCCCCTATATCTCATCAATCACAATAGTTGAGATTCTTCTCCTCCTCTTTGAGGTATTAGGAGTCAGCTGTGAATAAGGCAACTAGGAAAGAGATTTCTTGTCTAAGGTGTTGAATGTGAATCCACCTAGCTCATTTCAATCACAATCCATTTTCAATGGCAAAGATGGAAAGGTGACAAAAAAAAATAACAGTTCTAGAACTTGGAAATTTCTGGAGGTACATTTCCCACCTGGCACTTGGATTACACTGTTGCTATATGTGAGTTTAAATGAGGCCTTCAGAACCTGTGCTTTGGCACTGATGAGGCTCTAGATTTCAGGAGCCCCACTGATCACAGTATAGCTGCTATAGTGACGTAAATAACCATAGTGGAGTATGACACAGATTTGCTGATTTGTGGGAAATCTCACTATCTGGAGGTTACTGGATTTAGTAGAAAAAAAATGACTTTACCCAACTGTAAAAGAAGTTGATAACCAAGTTGAAGCTGGCAAAGGGTCCTACAGACCTATTAGTGGGTTTTCTCCAAGATTTGACAACTTGTCAGGATAGAATATCAACAAGAGTTTTTAGAAAAGGTTCCACCCAATGGAGCTGCCATCCTAAAAAATTCAGGTGTAACATTTGGAAGGGCCTCCTGCGTATGACTTTTCAATAGATGATTTCTTATGATAAGAGAACTAATTTGTTGACCATTCCCTGAGGTCCTTATCAATTCAGCAAAAATCCTATTTCAGCAGTAGCATGTAATATTTTTTTCTATTCTAGTCAGTGGTTCATTGTAATGCTTTTTTGGCGAAAGGTGGGCAGTTAGGTGGTGCAGTGGATAGAGTGCTGTGCCTGGAGTCAGAAAGACTCCTCTTCCTAAGTTCATTCAAATCTAGCCACAAACCCTTGGTAGCTATGTGACCCTAGGCAAGTCACTTAACTATAAAATGAGCTGGAGAAGGAAATGGCAAACCACTCCAGTATCTTTGCCAAGAAAACCCCAAATGGGGTCACAAAGAGTTGGACATGACTGAACAATTTTTTTTTAAACAACTTATAGCTTCTCTTTCCTGTGGCCCTCCTCCACAAAGAAATTACCCAATTTTGTACCATTTGCATTTTAGTCCAGGAAAAAGAGGGAACTGAGACAAGATCTAAAGGTATACGCCTTGCTGTAAGGTAGCTATTATGTTTAAAATAACCTGATATCTTCCCACAGAAAACTTTCAGTTGGGCCTCAAAGAATTCTTAATATATCTTCCTCCCCTAAATCCATGAGAGGTACAAACCTAAAATAGGTGACAGCTGCTTAATGCCACCCTAGCTCTATTCTTCTCATCTAGATTCACAATTCCAATACAAATTTAGTAGAGAGAGAATGTGTTCACTTGTGCTTTGATCCATCTCTAAGTTCGAGAGATGAGCAACAAGGTTTATCTCCCCCTGCCAGGACCTCTGAAGACCATGGCTAGCTATTCTATCCTCACTTTCCTACCTTGCTTCTGATAGTTCTAGTCTAAAGCAAGGTGAATAGTTGCTAAGGGAAAAAGAAGTTTATGAGATTTTCACTGATTTCTCAGAGACCAAGGAAAGAGTACAGATTCTGCCCTAACTTGCACTATCAGTACCCAGAGGTTCCAATAGCCTGGAAACTTTCTTACCACTGTATAAAGTGATGCTTCCTCCTCAGGCTCTCCTCATCTGGTGTATAAGAATCCCCATGTCTTCCACATAGCCAGGGTTGAATCACTATAGCAAAAAGGAGCCAGGAATGCATACTATAGTAATAGAGAAGGTATAGTTGTATAATGGGTAATTGAGAACAGATCCTGGACCATCTAGAAATCCCAGGTCTATGAGGCACAACTAGTACCAGAAAGTGCCATCAGGTCTTTCCTGCCCACCACCACCAGCATCCTCACCATGCCCTAGGTCTTGGGCACCAAGCCCTGTGTAGTGCCTAGAGAGAAAATATACCTCTGTATTCTGCCATAGAGAAAAAATGAGCCCAAACCTAGGCCTACCAAAGAAACATAAGTTTTTCTAATGTTATGGGCTTTGTATGCAGGTCTCTCCTGCTGCCTTCTACAACACCACCCCCTGATATCATTCAAATGGCTTAAAGGTCAATAAATCAACTGGAACTGGGAAAGAGCCCTAAGGACTTGGACTTTCTCCATGAGGATTAGAGGACAAAATGCCAATGAGACTCCACAAAACACGGATGCGATTTTGGTGTGTGTGTGTGTGTTTATCTTTAGTTTGACTACCCTCAAGCCATTGGGCACCTCTTTTTGTAGCTGAGTGACTGAACTCAAGATTACCCATGACAATCAGGTTTTATGGGATGTTATGCAAAGGATTGTGTGAATATGTAAATGAACACCAAGGAATGTTCACAACCAGTAGGGATGTGAATTATGGAGGGCTCTAGTCAACTCCATTTAAATTCCTGGGACAACTGGAACTAGAAGTCCAACCCTAGTCTTTGGAATTTCTTTCCTCTCATCTGATCAAGCCAATTTTGTCAACCACAGAGGTCTTTCTCATGATTCTGACTGAAATCAATGGACAATCTTATGAGCCCAGGAACCTGTAAGTCTTATTATAATATCTATGATGAATTTATGGTCATGACCCTATTTTTTAAAATCTCAGAACCCTGAAAATTCTATGGATACCATTCTAGTCCAGCCACTGGAACCTCTCTCTTCATCCATCACTGCTATGATTCTTTTCATTGACTGCAAGGTATGGTAGTAGATGCCAACTTCAAATAAGGAAACCTAGAGAGTTTTCTTGAATAAGGTATGAAATGTGAGTGGTAGGACAAATGTATCTTGGTTATTTCAATCACATTCCATTTTCAATGGTAAAGATAGACAGCAGACAAAATAACAAGGACAACAGTTACAAATAGTCATTCTAGAATTTGAAGCTTCCTGGGAATATAGCATCCTCTCCATTTGGAGAGTCCACTGCTGCTATATTTGAATTTACTCTAGACTCTCAGAGCCTGTGCCTTGGCACTGATAAGGTCCCAGTATCTTTAGGAGTTCCTGTGATCACGATGCAATTACTATTGTTGGATGTTTTGACTTAAATTTCCATGGTAAGTGAGGTTGTGGAGAGGTAGAAAAAAAACTGATGATTGATGGGAAATATCACTGGCTTGGAGATTACTGGAATTGTCAGAGAAGAACTGACTAATCTCAAATGGTACAAATTTTAAAATGCCAATATGCCATAAAAGTTAATATACTATCAAATGTCTCCAGAGACCTTTTAGTGGGCTTTCTCTAAGGCTCACCATCTTGTCAGAAGGATGAACTATCAACAAGTGCCTTTAGAGGAAAAGAAATTGATCCAGACTCCACCTTAGGATCTTCAGGTGCCACGTCTGGAGGGACAGCCTCCCTAGAGATGACTTTTGAAAGGCATTCCCTGTAAGAGAAATAATTTATTGAGTAACCCATAGTAGTCTCATCAATACAGATACAATCCTATTTCAACAAAAGCATAAAACAAAATTATTTTTCTATTCTGGTTGATGGCTCATTGGAATGCTTCCTTATAAATAATGGTTTTCCTTTCCCCTGCTCCTCCACAAGGAAAATGCCTGGTTTTGTTGCATTTGCATTTTAGTCCAGGACAAAGAGAGAATTAAGACATGGGTTCAAGTGCCACTTCTGATATCCTGGCTGTGTGATACTGGGCAAGATACTTAAACTCACAATGCTCTAGGCAACTCTCTGAGAATCTAAGTTGCAGAGAAGGTACCATCCTGTATTGGTAGAGGGCATTTCCTCCCGTTGAGGTTCTCTATACAAAAGAAATCACAGGTCTAATTCAGTAGTGATAACCTCTCAAATCTCTTGCCATCTCCCCAGGAAAATTTATAACAGTTCCCAATATGACCCTCCCCCAACACATCCTAGATTCAAAATTCTCATACTAATTGAGCAGAAGAAGACTGGGCTCTTCCGGGCTCTGCTGCCTCATCTCCAGCCTCAGGTGAAAAGAGGAGTCAAATGGTCCTCTGACCCCATACCTCCTATCTCCTGCTAGGCAAAGCATTTCCCCTAGTGAAAGGTGGCAAGGGGCCCAGTGGGCACCTTCCTTTTGCCCCAAAGCAATGACTTCCATCTGAGCCACCACAAGGCAACTCCAACCTTCTACTGCCAGCCTGATCTCCCAACTGGGATGTGGAGAACCTATAGTACAAAGAAGAGCATCCTTCCCTTTGACCTCAGGCCTTCCATCTTTTGCTGTGCCTGTCCCTTGAGGGAAAAGGAAGAGGAAAGTTGGTTGGGAAAATAACTTCTCCTGCTGTGTTGGGTCAACTACTATCTCCTGCTGTGCCCTTTCCTGTCTAATTTCCAACCTTCCAAGGGAAAAGGAGTGAAGCAGGGTCTCCTATCTGATAATATAACTCCTATCTCATACTGCACTTGCCTCCAACTTGCTCTCCAACCTCTTCTAGGAAGAGTGGTGCCCTCTATTCAAGGATGAACACTCATACCTGGTTATACCCTTCATATCCCAGTGATTCTGAGCCCCTATAGGTCATCATCTGAACCCTATTCATCAATCCCCACCACTGGACTCCTTTTTTCCATCCTTCTCAACCTTCTCACCTCAAAGTTTTAGCCAAATACCACCCATCCCTTACCCTGTGCCCTGTGGAATGCCTGTTCCCTAAGTACTAAACTTCCTTCATCCTTCCTTATTTTCTTCTCACTTCTTCCACCTACTAGGTATTACTGAAACCTGGTTCTCACTAGATGACACAGCCTCCTTGGTCACCTTTTCCAGTACTAGTTGCACCTTTACTCATTCTCCTTGGTTTTCTCACACATACACCCTCCCATTATCTAATGTGTTGCTAAGACCTGTTGATTTCATCTTTGTAACATCCCTTAAACATATCCTCTTCTCTCCTTTGACACTGCTATCACTCTGGTGCAAGCCTTCCTCAGCCTATGCTTGGACATAACAGCCTGCTTGTGGGTCTGCCTGCCTCAAATCTCTTTCCACTCCAATCCTTCCTCCACCCAATCATTAAAGTGATTTTCCTAAACCACAGATCTGACCATATCACTCCCCTACTCAATAAACTCCAGTGGCTCCCTATCACCTCTAGGAACAAATACACAATATCTGGAATTCAAAGCCCTTCATGACCTAGATCCCTCCCATCTTTCTAGTCTTCTTACACTTCTACCATATGCTTTTTAATTCACTGACACCAGTCTCCTTGCTGTTCCACAAATAAGATTCTCCATCTCTTGGTTCCCAGCATTTTCTCTGGCTGTCTCTCACACCTAGAATCTTCTTGTCAATTCCTCCTACTGACTTCCCTGGCTTCCTTTAGGTCCCAACTAAAGTTCCATCTCTCTCTCTCTCTCTTTTTCATTTATTTTTAGTTTTCAAGATTCATTTCCACAAGATTTTGAGTTCCAAATTTTTCCCCATCTTGTCCCTCCCCCCACCCCAAGATGGCATGCATTCTGAATACCCTTCCCCTAATCTTCCCTCCCTTCTATCTCTCCCCCCTTCTCTTATCCCCTTCCCCTTCTATTTTCCTAAATGGCAGGATAGATTTCTATACTCCATTGCCTGTATATCTTATTTCCTAGTTGCATGTGAAAACAATTTTTAACATTTGTTTTTAAAACTTTGGGTTCCAAATTTTCTCCCTTCCTCCTGCCCCACACACCCTCATTGAGAAGGCAAATAACTTGATACAGGTTATACTTGCGTAGTCATGTAAAACACTTCCATAGTAGTCATGCTGTGGAAAACTAACTATATTTCCCTTCATCCTATCCCCCCCCCCATTTATTCTATTCTCTCTTTTGACCCTGCCCCTCTTCAGAAGTGTTTGCTTCTGATTACCCCCTTCCCCAATCTGCCCTCCCCTCTATCATCTCCACCACTCTCTTATCTATCCCCTTTCCCCCTATTTTTCTGTAGGGTAAGATAGCTTTCCATACCCAGTTGAGTGTGTATATTATTCCCTCCTTAAGCCAAATCCGATGAGAATAAGATTCACTCTTCCCTCTCACCTTCTCCTACTTCCCCTCCACTGTAAAAACCTTGTCTATTTTATGTGAGATAACTTACCCCATTCTACTTCTCCCTTCTCCTTCTCTCTCACTCCTTAATTTCATCCTCCAGATATCACCCCTTCATCTTCAACTCACCCTGTGCCCTCTATCAATCTATCTATACATATAATTTTTTTCCCTCCAACTACTCTAATACTGACAAAGGTCACATGAATTATAAATATCATCTTTCCATGTAGGAATGTAAACAGTTCAACCTTAATAAGTCCCTTTCCTGTTTATCTCTTCATGCTTCTCTTGAGTCTTGCATTTGAAAGTCAAATTTTCTATTCAGCTCTGGTGTTTTCATCAAGAATGCTTGAAAGTCCTCTATTTCACTGAATGTCAATTTTTTCCCCTGAAGGATTATGCTCAGTTTTGCTGGGTAGGTGATTCTTGGCTGTAATCCTATCTTCTTTGCCCTCTTGAATATCATATTCCAAGCCCTCCAACCCCTTAATGTAGAAGATGCTAAATCTTGTGTTATCCTGATTATGTTTCCACAGTACCTGAATTGTTTCTTTCTGGCTGCTTGTAATATTTTCTCCTTGACCTGGGAACTCTGGAATTTGGCTATAATATTCCTATGAGTTTTCCTTTGGAGATCTCTTTCAGGAAGTGATTGGTGAATTCTTTTCATTTCTATCTCACTCTCTGGTTCTAGAATATCAGGGCAGTTTTCCTTGATAATTTGAAAGATGATGTCTAGGCTCTTTTATTTTTTTATTTTTAATCATGACTTTCAAATAGTCCAATAATTTTTAAATGATCTCTCCTGGATCTATTTTCCAGGTCAGTTGTTTTTTCCAATGAAATATTTCACATTATTTTCTATTTTTTCATCCTTTTGGTTTTGTTTTTACAACTTCTTGATTTCTCATAAAGTCATTAGCTTCCAATTGCTCCATTCTAATTTTTAAGGAAGTATTTTCTTCAGTGAGCTTTTGGACTTCCTTTTCCATTTGGCCAAGTCTGCTTTTTAAGACATTCTTGTCCTCATTGACTTTTTGTCTTTTTCTGCCATTTGGGTTAGTCTATTTTTTAAGGTATTATTTTCTTCAGTATTTTTTTTGGGGAGTCTCCTTTAGCAAGTTGTTGACTTGTTTTTGATGATTTTCTTGCATCATTCTCATTTCTCTTCCATTTTTCCTCTACTTCTCTTACTTGCTTCTCAAAAATCTTTTTGAGTTCTTCCATGGACTGGGACTGATTCAAATTTTTCTTGGAGGCTTTGCATGTAGGAACTTTGACTTTGTTGTCTTCTTCTGGTTGTATGTTTTGATCTTCTTTGTCACCAAAGAAAGATTCTATGGTCTGACTTTTTTTTTACACTGTTTGCTCATGATCCCAGCCAATTACGTGAGTTTTAAACTCTTTGTGAAGGTAGTGTTCTGCGTCCAATGTGGAGAATGTACTGTACCAAGCTTCGGGGGTTTTGTGCAGCTATTTTCAGAGATACTTCAAGGGACCTGTAAATTTTCAGTTCTTCCAAGGTGGTATGATCAAAGGTGAGGTGTTTACTCCTTTCCTGGCCTATGCTCTGTTCAATGAGTGACCACAAGCACTCTTTTCTGCCTTGGAACTGTGAGGAGGATTCCCTCTCCACTGCCACTACAAGTTCCACCATGCCAGTGCTCTTCCTTGCCCCAGGACTGCCACCCAGAACTGTGACCCAGATCCAAGCATGGGCAAAGCAAGAGAATCCTGCCTCAGTGCCAGCAAAGAGATCCCTGAAATCCCCCTCTAATCAGCCACTTAACTTCCCCCTCAGTCAGTGGCCAGGAAGCTCTGGAAGCAGTCACCACCCCAGGGCTGAAGCCAGGGCTGGGACTGGGAGTATGCTTCTCTCTTACCACAGTCACATACTTTTCCTACTGACCTTCTAAGTTGTGTTTGGTATTTGTGGGTTGAGAAGTCTGGAAACCACCACAGGCATCCATGATTCAGTCCTCTGAGGCTGTTCCAACCGTGCTGAGGCCTGTTTTGCCTGCATGCCTATGCTGAACTACCTTTCTCTCCCAGCCTGGCATGATAGACCTTTATAATCAACCATCCAGGCTCTCTTGGGCTGGAAATTTGTGTCATTCTGTCTTTTTGTAGGTTCTGCTGCTCTGGAATTTGTTTAGAGCCATTTTTTACAGGTACTTGGGGGGTTTGGGGGACAGCTCAATAAGTCACTGCTTTTACTCTGCTATCTTGGCTCCACCTGCTTGTAATATTTTCTCCTTGACCTGGGAACTTTGGAATTTGGCTACAATATTCCTAGGAGTTTTCCTTTGGGGATCTCTTTCAGGAGGTGATTGGTACATTCTTTTAATTTCTATTTTG